TTAGTTATTGATGAAATTTACAAATTACATTCATAAAAAATGCCTTACACATTACCAAGTCTACCTCATGGCAGCAATCTGTTGAAGTATCAAATACCAACAATATGATTTTTTTTTATTGAACATTATTAAAATAACCACCAGTGGACACACCTTTTACACATAAGGTAAGATTTATATAACAAAGAGTACACTGCTTTACTGATGATACCACAAGCTTAACACCATTTATACAACTATTACAAGAATCATCATGACTAATCAGGCATTATGATTTTGGAATATCAATAAAAGATTTCTTGATGTTGAGGTGTAATCTCCACAATTCAAAAATACTGTAGGCACTTTGGGCCAGGTTTTGGAGAGAGAAAAAAAAATTGTGTAATAAAAATCTTCTTCATTCCACAGGTCTTTGATTTAAATTTGAATTCAAGATAAAATCTTACATTCCTACAGTACTCAATATTAAGTCCTTACTTTACCTAACACCAGCTAATTCCAACCTATGGTATAATCTATGTCTACTATACTTTTTAACTTACGATGAATAGGCAATAATATCACATTTAGTTTGCATTAGATTTGAGTAAGCATACAAAAACATATTAGTCAAAATATAATTTTTCCTTCCCTTTCTATAACCCATGGACACCACGATGGCAAGTACACACATGCCATGACACTGTGATTTTAGACTGTTAATATTGTTTACACAGAGATAGTTCCACATGTGCTTAGTCACTAAGGAGTCAATTACTGATCCTATTTCACCTGTTTATCTTTTTTCTTGATATATGGCGATATAGCTTTATATTCTTTATTGTTATTAGCATTTTATTACCATTATAATAACCACAATGTCAATAATAACAATAACAATATCAGTATCAAATGCATTGGTGTAAAAAAATCCTGAAAATTTATGGAATGGAGAAATCAGATGAGGTCACCGTATTGATATTAATTGTATCAGAAAAAAAATAATAAAATCAAGGAATGGTGAACTCGGGTGAAATCATGTATGTCATACTAATTGAATCATTAGAGACTAAGCATTTGTGGAGTTATCTAAATATGAACAAAATGGGTTTATTTTGAAAAAAAGAAAAAAGAAAAAGACCGACTAAGATAAACATACAGATTTATTGACCCCAATACCTAATAAATATATGGTAGATTATAACATTATCCCTGAACTATCCCTCATAATCATAAATAAAAATCAGTTCACATCAGTCATTATTTATATCCTAATTTGCTACAAATACATAAGTTAGTTATTGCCTCTTAGGATGGCAGTAGAGATAATAAAAAGAATTTAGCTATCTCCATTAACATATGCATATCTTTTATGGTTAAAATGTTTATAAAATCAAGATGTTGGAATATGGAAGATTATTTATTCACTTCTATTTTTAAAAATCTATTATTAGGCTGAAAATATAGTCTTGAAGAAATCAAATTGTGATAAATTATTTTGTGCCTAAACTGCTACTTAAATTTGCCCTTTAAAGAGTATTAACACAGAAATAAATCCACATAAAATAAAAATGGCACTAATGATTGGCAGAAACACAAACAAAAACAAAAAACTAGATATTCATAATCTTTACATTCTATTATGCATATGTGGAATAATCACTTGGAACATAGTAACTGCAATTCCCTTCCTCATTTCAAAACAGTGTTACAGATAAAGCAAAGCATGGCAAGATTCTGAACTTAAAGCCATCGTCACAAGTGGCAACCAAGTGTGGAAATCAGTTGCCACAACTCTGAGCAAGACTTTATTCAAAATGAGGGCTTTCATATATGTTAATGGCAGTCTCTAATACACAAGCTAGGGCACTGTTTCAAATGGGAGCTGTTATACAGTGCTACTAGTTATATCAATGACCATCAGTACCAGGGTTTATAAAGAACATCTATTTCCTCACTAGATGTTATTTTCTTGACTGAGTTGTCTGTATAGTAAATATGCAGCTACCTGTATAGACAACTGATTACTGTAAATATCATGTGAAAGTGGCCTGAGGAACCATATTGGCTAAGACCTAACAGGAACAGATGGCTTCAGAGGGTTTTCAGAATGTTCAAAGCTTTAAACCCCATTCCCCAAATCCACTGAGCAAAACGAAGGAACATCAATATTAGTTTATTGAATACTTATGGCAAATTTTAAAAAATTAAATAAGAGAACAGACCAAAAGAAAGGAAAAAGAAATAATTCAAGAACTGAGGTAACTGAAGAGGACACGAGGTATATAATAAAGAACTATTAAAAGTCAAAATGGAGATTTCATCCAAATTGCACTGTATCCCATGACTATTTATTTGGGATGCATGTTCCTCACCCATTAAACTATAACTGGCTTATGATGAAGACTATTTCATCCATAGAAATTTTTTGATCTTAAGTAAACATTGTAGAATACATGTTCACCTTCTAATTACAATAAAAAACAATATTTCTGAATCCTGGATGAACAAATGCAATTCAATAAAAGAGTGAAAGGTATAGTCAAAGAAAACATATTTTGGTCTGCTTTACTGTAAATAAAATATTGAATACCTTATTTCATGGCATAAATATTTTTTTTTCTCATGTAATATGATTATCTTTTTATGAAAATAATTATCATACAGTAAACATACTCCTACTGATACTCCTGATTGTGTACCAAAGAAAAGCAATAGGCTTTAAAAACATTATTGGTAAATTCTATGAATATTCTATTTACAACTTGGCCCAAGCACATGATTTACATGTTGTGGTTATTTAATCTGGTTGACTTTAAATGCATATTTTCTTCTCGTCATAATCATGTGGACATCACACAGACATGATACTTCAAAGAAAACAAAAACAAACAAAAAAATGGAGCAAATCCTATCTCAAGAAACAAATAAAAACAAAGCAATTCCTATCTCAAGAAGCCAATGTTAGCAAAGAAAATTTTCCTTTCTTTTGCAGGACATTAAAGGCAGTTGCAATCAAAGGCAACAAATCTTAATATGGCCATAACACAATAGCACTTTTTTCCCATCAATTTTTGCACTTCCATATAAACTTTTGTGTATGCAAATGGTCCTACCATATCAGACTAGCACATAATCACCCTCTCAAATAAACAAACACATTCTCCAAGCAATCAAAAATAAAGTAGCTAGGCAAGAAATACATCAAGAGAAATCTGACAAAACAAAGATGGTTTTGATTCTGTCTTTTAATTGAAACCATTCCAAATGCATCAACATAAAAATTGACAGAGAAAGTACTACTGTGACAGGGCCTTTAGAGTGACACACTGAAATCATATGCAGTTAAGATGGTGTGTGTTGAGACAGTGGCTTTGACAGGAGAGATTTATTTGTGAATAACACTGCTACCAATTATAATGCTTGATTCAAAAAATGCATTGGGGGAACTATAATGCAGATTAAAAATAATCTGCTTGAGAAAGAAGCTTTGAGTTACATTGTTCCTTGGGAGAAATATTTGATGTTTGTTTACCTATAAAACTGTACAAAGAAATGGCAATAAAGTGTCATATAAAACTAACTTTGGTAAAATCCTCGCTAAAACAATTCAAAGCTAGATACATTTTACCAGTTTGGTGGAAAGAGAGCAATTCTAAAATGCCTATCAACTTCATGGAAAAAAAAAAATTGCAAAAATGTTCCATTAACCTAATGTTTCTCTCAAAATCCATCAATGACCAACCATTTCTCAGTAACTTTTTCGAGCTGTTTCGCTACAATAGGATTCCTAACACGGACTTTTACCTCCAGCTTCCCACCAACCATACGTTTCTTCTCATCGGTCAACTGTGAAAGAAATGAATCAAAAATCAGTTTTAGTGGATGAAAATATTTTTTTTTCTCATGTAATATGATTATCTTTTTATGAAAATAATTATCATACAGTAAACATACTCCTACTGATACTCCTGATTGTGTACCAAAGAAAAGCAATAGGCTTTAAAAACATTATTGGTAAATTCTATGAATATTCTATTTACAACTTGGCCCAAGCACATGATTTACATGTTGTGGTTATTTAATCTGGTTGACTTTAAATGCATATTTTCTTCTCGTCATAATCACGTGGACATCACACAGACATGATACTTCGAAGAAAACAAAAACAAACAAAAAAAATGGAGCAAATCCTATCTCAAGAAACAAATAAAAAACAAAGCAATTCCTATCTCAAGAAACAAATAAAAAACAAAGCAATTCCTATCTCAAGAAACAAATAAAAAACAAAGCAATTCCTATCTCAAGAAACAAATAAAAAACAAAGCAATTCCTATCTCAAGAAACAAATAAAAAACAAAGCAATTCCTATCTCAAGAAACAAATAAAAAACAAAGCAATTCCTATCTCAAGAAACAAATAAAAAACAAAGCAATTCCTATCTCAAGAAACAAATAAAAAACAAAGCAATTCCTATCTCAAGAAACAAATAAAAAACAAAGCAATTCCTATCTCAAGAAGCCAATGTTAGCAAAGAAAATTTTCCTTTCTTTTGCAGGACATTAAAGGCAGTTGCAATCAAAGGCAACAAATCTTAATATGGCCATAACACAATAGCACTTTTTTTCCCATCAATTTTTGCACTTCCATATAAACTTTTGTGTATGCAAATGGTCCTACCATATCAGACTAGCACATAATCACCCTCTCAAATAAACAAACACATTCTCCAAGCAATCAAAAATAAAGTAGCTAGGCAAGAAATACATCAAGAGAAATCTGACAAAACAAAGATGGTTTTGATTCTGTCTTGTAATTGAAACCATTCCAATGCATCAACATAAAATTGACAGAGAAAAGTACTACTGTGACCGGGCCTTTAGAGTGACACACTGAAAATCAATGCAGTTAAGATGGTGTGTGTTGAGACAGTGGCTTTGACAGGAGAGATTTATTTGTGAATAACACTGCTACCAATTATAATGCTTGATTCAAAAATGCATTGGGGAACTATAATGCAGATTAAAATAATCTGCTTGAGAAAGAAGCTTTGAGTTACATTGTTCCTTGGGAGAAATATTTGATGTTTGTTTACCTATAAAAACTGTACAAAGAAATGGCAATAAAGTGTCATATAAAACTAACTTTGGTAAAATCCTCGCTAAAACAATTCAAAGCTAGATACATTTTACCAGTTTGGTGGAAAGAGAGCAATTCTAAAATGCCTATCAACTTCATGGAAAAAAAAAAAAATTTGCAAAAATGTTCCATTAACCTAATGTTTCTCTCAAAATCCAGCAATGACCAACCATTTCTCAGTAACTTTTTCGAGCTGTTTCGCTACAATAGGATTCCTAACACGGACTTTTACCTCCAGCTTCCCACCAACCATACGTTTCTTCTCATCGGTCAACTGTGAAAGAAATGAATCAAAAATCAGTTTTAGTGGATAAAAATATTTTTTTACCACAGTCATGTTATTTAACAAAAATTTATTTCATTTTGAATAGTTCTCTACAAGTGTATGAAAAAGAGTACTTACATCATAAGACTCATGTATGGTGCACTTTGTTTCCAAGTCTACCAGAGGTATTTTCACCTGGCCTAACATCGTATCACGGTGGAACCAACCACTGGAAATAATAATTGAATGATCAATCAGAATGCTACAATCACACATGAAAAATTACAAGTCATTCTTTCCATACTTATCAGCACTCTCTAATATATACTTGAAGTTGAGTAACTCTTTCCCTAAATGGTTTCAAGTATTCTCATCGCTTTATAGAAAAAAAAACCTTACCTACTTTAACAAGCATTTCCATGAAGATAAACAAATAACAAGCCAAGAAAAAGAGGACTATTTAATTTACCATCTCTAGTGTAAAATGATTCTTTTATTAATCATAAGGTCACATACACCACTTACCCCTTAGCCCACACCTGGACCTTAAGAGCATGCCTCTTGAACACACGGGCAAGGGCTCTTGCCTTGCGGTCGATGCTAAAGACTACCTTGTGGTTGTATTCTGGATTGTTTGTGTCCTTTACCACATTGGAACGATCTTGGGGAGGGTTGTCCTAAAAATAATTTTTCATTAGCTTTAAAGAGAACTAATTCATCAGTGAATGCATGGGTATCTAATACCCCCTTATGCAAAAGAGTATTGTCCAGCAACAAGTTAGTCTTACAATGTTAATTCATTTTCTATGGAAATCTCTGGTCAACATGTTATAACAAACTTCTATAATTCATCCTTTTCTGCTTTGTATTAGACACTGTTTTGTAACAACACAGGATCAAGAAAAAGAAAAAAAAAATCATATATAAACAATTGTATAAACACATCTCACATTTATAATAGCAGTCACATCAAAGGCCAATAGATTTATACCAATACTTACAGACGGATATGGGAACTCTAGCTTTACATATGTATCTACATCATTGGGGTTTTGGACATTGAAGTTGACTCCCCTCAGCACACAAGCCTCACAATCGGAATCATTCAAGTCCGTGTTACATCTGTGGAGAAAAAATTTATTATTTTGAAAGTACAGAAAAGTATGGCATAAAAGCAAATACAGTAGTGAAAGTAAGTATATTATCAACATGGTGATGGCTTGACAATACATATGGATACATCATAATATCTAAGAAATTAATAAATAAAATCATCATCATCCTACAGATATCAAATACATTAATAATTGACTCAAACTGATACAAAGGCACCTTCTTTACAAAACTAGCAAAGAAATCCTTTCAGTTCATTCTTAGTCATGGGGTAATATGTGATGTTGACACTTACTGCACTATAGTAAAGGACCTATTTTCGTAATGGAAACGTGGTATTGTGCCTCCTCTCTTACATGCCGCTCTCACTGCATCTAAATCTTTTTTGGTGTGAAGTATCAACTGCTCAAATCTGTTTGCACTTGCAACGTCTCCTGTTGCTTTGAAATGTTCACGGGTCTGAGCACACATCTGCAAAAGAACAAATACATGAATCATATCTACAGCAAAAAGTACATTAATTGACTATTTCGATAGATTCAGACACCCAGAGTTTCGATATCAGTAATACAATCCTGTTTCATATTACTTTACACTGAACTTAAAATTTAGAATGCAACACGATTGCCTCTCTATACATTATAAAACAATACAGTCAAATAGTAAACATACTAATTACAATCTGCTGCAGACACATATAAAGTCATAAAAAAAAGAAAAAATCATCAGTAATAATGACAACAAATAAAAAATAACAGAAATCATAGAAATAACAGAAAATATAAATGAAAACAACTAAGGCTAACAAAAATAATAATAAAGAATTGAGAACAGTCAACTTGTCAATACTGAGAATAAGAAAGAAAGAATGGAGAAAAAAATCCCCTTACTTTGATCTGAGCAATAAGATCCTCTTCGAGCTTACACACACACACACACACACACACACACACACACACACACACACACACACACACACACACACACACACACACACACACACACACACACACACACACACACACACACACACACACACACACACACACACACACACACACACACACACACACACACACACACACACACACACACACACACACACACACACACACACACACACACACACACACACACACACACACACACACACACACACACACACACACACACACACACACACACACACACACACACACACACACACACACACACACACACACACACACACACACACACACACACACACACACACACACACACACACACACACACACACACACACACACACACACACACACACACACACACACACACACACACACACACACACACACACACACACACACACACACACACACACACACACACACACACACACACACACACACACACACACACACACACACACACACACACACACACACACACACACACACACACACACACACACACACACACACACACACACACACACACACACACACACACACACACACACACACACACACACACACACACACACACACACACACACACACACACACACACACACACACACACACACACACACACACACACACACACACACACACACACACACACACACACACACACACACACACACACACACACACACACACACACACACACACACACACACACACACACACACACACACACACACACACACACACACACACACACACACACACACACACACACACACACACACACACACACACACACACACACACACACACACACACACACACACACACACACACACACACACACACACACACACACACACACACACACACACACACACACACACACACACACACACACACACACACACACACACACACACACACACACACACACACACACACACACACACACACACACACACACACACACACACACACACACACACACACACACACACACACACACACACACACACACACACACACACACACACACACACACACACACACACACACACACACACACACACACACACACACACACACACACACACACACACACACACACACACACACACACACACACACACACACACACACACACACACACACACACACACACACACACACACACACACACACACACACACACACACACACACACACACACACACACACACACACACACACACACACACACACACACACACACACACACACACACACACACACACACACACACACACACACACACACACACACACACACACACACACACACACACACACACACACACACACACACACACACACACACACACACACACACACACACACACACACACACACACACACACACACACACACACACACACACACACACACACACACACACACACACACACACACACACACACACACACACACACACACACACACACACACACACACACACACACACACACACACACACACACACACACACACACACACACACACACACACACACACACACACACACACACACACACACACACACACACACACACACACACACACACACACACACACACACACACACACACACACACACACACACACACACACACACACACACACACACACACACACACACACACACACACACACACACACACACACACACACACACACACACACACACACACACACACACACACACACACACACACACACACACACACACACACACACACACACACACACACACACACACACACACACACACACACACACACACACACACACACACACACACACACACACACACACACACACACACACACACACACACACACACACACACACACACACACACACACACACACACACACACACACACACACACACACACACACACACACACACACACACACACACACACACACACACACACACACACACACACACACACACACACACACACACACACACACACACACACACACACACACACACACACACACACACACACACACACACACACACACACACACACACACACACACACACACACACACACACACACACACACACACACACACACACACACACACACACACACACACACACACACACACACACACACACACACACACACACACACACACACACACACACACACACACACATGAAAAAAAAAAAAAAAAAAAAAAAAAAAAAAAAAAAAAAAAAAAAAAAAAAAAAAAAAAAAAAAAAAAAAAAAAAAAAAAAAAAAAAAAAAAAAAAAAAAAAAAAAAAAAAAAAAAAAAAAAAAAAAAGGCTAACAAAAATAATAATAAAGAATTAAAAACAGTCAACCAGCCAACACTGAGAATAAGAAAGAAAGGAGAAAAAAATCCCCTTACTTTGATCTGAGCAATAAGATCCTCTTCGAGCTTGGCATAAGTTACCGCTGCATCTCCACTGACGCCAGCCGGAGCAACGACGCAATCTTCTGCATCCACCAGTTCGAAGTCTATATTGCTAATTGCAGGAATCTGCTCCTGAGGTGGCACTGGCACCTGTGAAGATGGTTGAAAATGGGCAGAGATGAAAGAGATAATCAGAAATTTTCCTATTTGTAGATTGTATATTTATGGAGGAAAGAGAAGAGGTGATAGAGTAAAGGAGGGAGAAGTGGAGGAGTAGGAAGAAGAGGAGAGAGAGAGAGAGAAAGAGGAGGAAGCAAAGGAAGTGGAGGAGAAAGAGGAGGAGGAGGAGGAGGAGGAGGAGGAGGAGGAGGAGGAAGAAGAGAAGAGAGAGGAAGAGAAGGGAGAAGAGGAGGAGGAGGGAGTAGAAAAAGAGGATGTGGAGAATGAGAGGAGGAATAGGAGGAGAAGGAGCAGGAGGAAGAGGAGGGGGAGGAGGAGGAGGAGGAGGAGGAGGAGGAGGAGGAGGAGGAGGAGGAGGAAGAAGAGGAGGAGAAAAGGAAAAGTAGAAGAAGAAGAGGAGTAGGAGAAAAGGAGAAGTAGAAGGAGGAGGAAGGAGTAGAAGTAGAAGTAGAAGAAGTAGAAGACGAAGAAGTGATAGGGGGAGGACAAAGTGGAGTGAGAAGGAGGGAAAACAACAAGAATTAGGATGAGGGAGAGAAGGCGCCGGAGGAGGATGATAAGGAAGAGTAGGAACAGAATAGGAGTGAGAGAAGGGGAAGGAGGAGGGAGCAGAGGAGAGGGGAGAAGAGGAGGACGGAAAAGAGGAGTGTTGAGATAAAGGAGGGTCAAGGAGGAGGGTGATAACAAGATGGAGGATTAAATATAGATGTAGAAAAGAAGAAGAAGAAGAAGAAGAAGAAATAGAATAAACAGAAAGAATAAACAAAGAAAGAAATAATAGGAGCAAAGAAAAGAAACATGGGAAGAAAATAACTAACTGATTCAAGAAGCCACACACACACACACACACACACACACACACACACACACACACACACACACACACACACACACACACACACACACACACACACACACACACACACACACACACACACACACACACACACACTCTCTCTCTCTCACTTACGGTGTTCATATCAATAGGCAGACCGCCTCGAGTAGCATCAATGAGCTGGTCGAAGCCCTTGCTCATCCGAAGGTATTCCTTGGCTTGCTCAATCTCTCCGCGTTTCTTCGCTTCGAGGGCAGCCTGCTTGAACTGATTCTGTCTCTTAAGGAGGAAGGCCAATTGCTTTTCTACGCGTGACTGGGGTGCCTTGCGGACTGGAAGAAAATTAAGGTATTTCCATTGAATTATGAAATAACTGTTATCTTTGATACAATAAAACAAAGGGTAAAATTTTTAGGAAAATCAGGTAAAGATGGGCACACAGGGACAATTTTATAGCTCTCAGGATGTATGAGACTCATCTTAGAGACTGGGACTCATGAAGACATAATGAATCACCTGGTGTGTCTGATTATTCACCAATATGTGATAATTCATCATCCATCACCAATGGATTAATGTCAGTAAAAATGTTTGGAATGACAGTCTGAAAGTTTTCAATGCATGGAGTATTTTGTTCCCTTATATATTCTAACACGGGAGATACAGAAATTTAGATGTACACATAAGAATATAACAGTTTGCTTTCTCTTTCTATAATATATATGTACCTATAAATAAAGAAAGTTAGAATGAGCAAGACCATACACAAAGCAGGATCTCTAAAACATTAGTTCAACAAACCATTTGGTGTTGGTGCTGTCTTTTTACTCTCTTCAGCAGCTTGAGCAGCATCTGGTCTTGGCTGTTTAGCAGCAGGAGGTCCACCTGTGCTAGGATCTGCCTGAGGTGCAGCTGTATCGGATGCAGCAGGGGGTGGCTTGCTGTCACCAACTGGGATTGGAGGGAAGCCTGTAAAAAAAAGTGACAATTAGTAATTTATAAAAGTGGCTTTAGTCATAATGATATTTTTATTGATACATTTTCTCTCAGTTTCTACATATATAAATTTTGGCAAACACAAACTTTTCTGCAGCCACTCGCTTTGAACTCTCATCAAAACCTGTAAAAGATTTTTCTCAACATATCCCTTGAATACATAAAAAAATATTGCCCTAACTTTCATGCCATAAAATCTGGTAAACAAATACAAAGACGAAGATCAGACGAGGGAGGGGGGGAGAGCAGAGGAGGGGAGAAAAGAATGTCTTACCAGGAGGACAAGGCAGCTCATCAAATGGCACAGGTCTGCCAGCTTTGTGACACTTAATTGCATCCTGAAACTGCTTCATGATGCGCTGGTTCATGCGTTCCTTGCGGGCATTTCCTTCATTCTGGAAAGAAATGGTGTAACATGCATATGGTTGTTTACCATAGTGTGGGTTATAATTCATGGGGTTACTGTTCATGGTTATGGTAGTTAGTTAAAGACAAAATGCATTTACCATTCATACTGGTTTATATATATCATGAAAAGTACATTCTCATCCCATTTTAAGAGTTATATGAATGAAAATGAGAAAATGAGAAGAGAAACAAAGAGGAGACAGAGAAAATTAGTAATTAATTCCTAATCTACAATTAAGATATGATTCAGAACGATCGAATAAAAAATCCACATCACTGAAATTGGCATCACACACACACACCCTACCTTTGCCTTGTCTCGTTGTTCCGCATACTTTGCTAATCGTTGTTCTAATGCCTCCAAGACTGTTGCTGGAGCTGCAGGGCCATCAGGGGCACTAGCAGGGGCAGCATCAGCAGGGGCAGGGGCAGGGGCATTATCCTGAGCAACTGGTTGTGTTGACACTGTTGAGGAGAATTTTTAGTTCAACCCAATGTCTTTGGGAAAATGTGTTCATTGTACTAACGTTTTGTGAAATGTTTCAGGACATAGATGACTCTGCAAGTGCTTAGCCACAAAGGAGTCAATTGGGAGATAATGTGACCTCACCTAATTTCCTTGATTTTTTTTTTTTTTTCCTGATGCTATCAATATCAAAGCTATTATTTTTATTATAGACATTATACTTACTATAGTGTAATGACATTACTAATAGCAATATTAGACACCAGAAAATATTTTTGAAAATCAAGGAAACAGGTAAATAGGCGAGAAAGGTTTATATATATCATAAAACTATTCCAAACATCAATTCACTAGTAATGCACCTGTCTCTGGCTGAGGCTTGGGCTGTGGTGAGGCCTGCAACACAAACGTCCCGGGCGGCCCAGGCAGAGTTGTGAGGTCCACGGCCTGTCCGCTCTCAGCTGCGCTCAGCATGGGTTCCAGCTGCTTCATTATCCTCATGTACATGATGGCAGATTCTTTGTCTCCTTTCTTCTTGGCTTCAAGGGCAGCCATCTTGTATTCAGTGTGGCGTGTCTTCACTGCACTTGCTGGTCCAGACGAGGACATAGAGCGCTGGAGGGGAGGGCCAGAGGGAGGCGTTGTGCGTGGAGGAGGGGGTGCTGGCCGGTTGGTGGTGTTGGAGGAGGAATCCTGCAATTTTTTATATTTTATTGTATATATCTTTTTGTTAGTGCCAAAATCAAGGAGGGCTCTTGATATATCCACTCTGACACATTTGGAAATGTAATATACGTAGACAATTATTCTTCAATGAATCAAAAAGGTATTAGCAATTTTCCCCGTAATTATAAATCACAGAGTAATCATAATGAACCTTAAAAAAAGAACAAACAAACAAGAAATTGAATTTGTACCATATATTAAGACATTTTTTTTCTGTAGAGAAAAATTCCCAGGTTCACCAACAAATACAAGGGTTTTATGAAACCATGCTTAACAATTATGTTTGGATGTCAAATCTAGGTCTAAATCTGTGAAGACTTCACAAGTTAAACTCAAAGTCTGTGATAGAGAAAGGCTATATACAGAAAATAAATACTATTTCTTGTATGGGATAGTATATCTAATGAACAAAAAGTTGGGATGCATTATACCAAACTACAGTATGGTATGTGGCAGAAGGCCCAAAAGTAATCATTCTTTAAATGTCTTCTACATTCTTGACTTCTCTCTCCATAAAAAGTCAGTGAGAACAGTCTGTCTTTATATTTCTAGATTTCTCTACATCCACACCTCATTTATAGTTTCATTTTTCTCCAAACAGAAAAACATGGACTTACCCAAGAATTGGACATAAAATACCAAACTCCCAGATCAATAAAAAGCACAAATAAGTTAGAAACAAATTTACCCCACACAACTGAAAGAGAATTTAATACTTTTCTCACCAGATAGAGAAGCATGTTTCAAATTAAGGACTTACTACAACCTTGATGAAAATATAAAACAAAAGAACAAATCCACAGTTAAAACAAGAAGACTAACTTGCATTCCTTTACATCTAAGACAAAGACACTTCTAAACAGATTGCAAAAAAGAAATGAAAGTAATCAAAAATAGAAAAAAAAGGATAAAGAAAAAGATATGGCAGAATAATCTTAAAAAAAAAAAAAAAAAAAAAAAAAAAACTTTTAATTTGACCCAATAATTTGGTCTGAATATGCAAGCAGTTCAACCTGTTTCACCGGACTTGTCCTCGTAGACCCACGGGGAGTGGGATATCTCGGGTCATGGAAGGCTACCTCATGAACCAGAGAAGCTGAGGAGTTCCTGTTGTGTGGGGGGACTGGGGGGGGTGCAGCATCCTCTGTAGGAGATGTAGCAGCAGGAGAGGGTGTTGATGTTGGAGTGTTAGAACCCCCTGACTTGGCACTGTGTTTCACAACCACCACAGGGGGGATGTCTTCTTCGTTGATCGCCTGGCCCGCTTTGACTGCCCTCTGCATCTGGTGTAGTGTTTTTAGCCCTCGGTTGAACCTTTGGGGAAAAATTACGGCTCAGGCTTTGTTTGGCTTTATTGTGGTTGAGGCAACTCTCAATCTTATGCCAGCAAGTTTCAGAGAGGTGGGATGGGGGAAATTTACTGCTCAACTATGAATTTCAGATGACTACGACTACTACTACTCCCTCTATTACCATAAAAAAAAGTTATTAGAGATATATAACATGAAGAAATATGGAAAAAAAAAAAAAATATATATATATATATATATATTCCTAACATCCTCTGTTTCAGTATTAGTGACCAAAACACTGTCTTATGACATACAGCATTCAGTCTCACACTGTTGCTCTACTAACAAATAACATCAATAAGGTATTTTAATTGTCACCATTATAATAAATAAAACTTTATTACACTGATATTGACAAGATTCTAAATCTCTCTGCCAACAAAAGAAAAAGAAAAATTCTATAAGCCTTCTAATTAAAAAAACTGGGCAGCACAAGTACCTCCGTGCTCTCGAAGTCTCCCCACAGGACTTGGCATTAGCCTCTGCTTCCTCATACATGGCCACCCTCTCTGCCAGCAAGCTCACTAGGTTGCTTCCCCCTGTCATGGGAGCAGGCCTGTGCCCCCTTGGCTCCGGGTTTCGGTAGCTGTTGCTGGGTGGAGGCTGGGAGGGGGCTGTGGGGGGAGGGGATGGCTTGGCTGGTTCATCATCGCCACCTTGGGAGCTCAGGGCGGATAGCTCGGCCTTAAGAGAAGGTTATATTTATGTAAAGGGGAATCATTTATTACATGTTTTATATATATAATAAAAAGAAAAAGAAGAAGAAGAAGAGATAAAATCAAATACACTTGGGTGAACAAATGGAGGTAATGCAAGTATTCCCAGACAATATACAGAAGAAAAAAAGGCAAGGCAACATATATATATATATCTTTCCACTGAAACCACAAGAACAACAAAATAACAAATCATCAAAAACCTTTCACATAATCACAAGAAAACATACACGTCCAACACCACTGACTAATAAAACTGACAGAAAAATAAACTGTGCTATTCCTTACCAGCAGATCTGGGTCATCCTCGTCTGAGAGCTCTTCATCGTAGTCATCACGCATGCACTCATTCACCATTTTGTCGAGCTCGTGTGGGGAAACAATCTTTTTGGGAGCTGAAAGAATGGGAATGGCTCTTAATGTGTGAAATGGAGAAGAGAGAGTGAGAGAGATGGAGAGCAAGAGAGGAGGGAGGAGAAAGGAGAAAGGAGAAAGGAGAGGGGAGAAAGGAGAGGGAAGAAAGGAGAGAGGAGAAAAGAGAGAGGAGATAGGAGAGAGGAGATAGGAGAAAGGAAAGAGAGAGAGAGAGAGAGAGAGAGAGAGAGAGAGAGAGAGAGAGAGAGAGAGAGAGAGAGAGAGAGAGAGAGAGAGAGAGAGAGAGAGAGAGAGAGAGAGATAAGTCCAATATGCGAAACTGATCCTCGCTTGGGCTATGAGGGGAGCCCAGCCTGTGTCGACTAATGTCGACTCGCTAACAGTGTGTCAGCAGGTGCTGACTCGACTTTTGTCCTTACCCGCCGTGGTGCCCAGCCACAGCAGTAACCTCCAGGCGACAATTGCAACTTATCGTGCCTGGGCGGGGCACGAACCGCCGACCCCTCAGATGAGAAGCCGACACGTTATCACTGTACTAGCCTGGAGGCTGAGAGAGAGAGAGAGAGAGAGAGAGAGAGAGAGAGAGAGAGAGAGAGAGAGAGAGAGAGAGAGAGAGAGAGCTGTGTCTTATTTAACCCATTGCCGACGAGCATGCAATGCCATGCCCAATGTGAGATTACTTTTTTGGTTGTTTTTACACATAGATGGCTACACTTGTACTAAATCACCAATGAGCCAGTTACGAGTACCGCCTGTCTCGCCCGTTCACCCTTTTCTTTGATTTACGAAATATTTTATGTTATCTAATTTTTCTGTTACTAATGTTAAAAAACATTAGAAAATGTTTATAATAAAAATAACACCATCGATATTCATGGCACTAGTGAAAAATACGTTTTTCCCGCCATTTCAAATCAGGCACTAACAGAGCCATCTATGGGCAAACATTTCACAAAAAATATAGAAAATAGGCACAGCATTTTCCCTGGCGGTAATGGGTTAACTGCAACATGCCTAATGCATTTACTGTGCTTTTAAGTTATGAATTCTTATTTATGTATTCTTTTTTTTACATTTCTAATTTTCCTTTGTAATGCTAGGCTGCTAACCTCACAAAATAACTCATAATCATTGCCCCCCCCTCCCCTACTATATAGGCCTGGTTATAGCTTAAAAAATGCTCCTGGAATAGCTTATTTTTTTCCTAAGATTTTGATTACTTTGCTCAACTACCCACCCTTACCCCTCCCCCTGAGAAAAAGCTGAAATGATGCCCCTGTGATCTACTGTTTCTCAACTACTCTTTCTTGTGTTCGTCGATGAAGAAAGAAAGAAAGAAAGAAAAAAAAAAGAGAGAGAAAACAAAAAACAAAAACAAAAAACACTAATAATAATAACAATATAAATCAAAATAAAATAAATATAAAATATAAACCTTATTTTATTCATGAAAGCAGAACAGGAAAACTAGTAATTGTGGATGACTTCAGTATTGATCTACAGCTTATGGAAATTTAAGTAGTGTGTAAGCAGCGCAGTTGCTGATAAGGAATGATAAGGGGCAAGAAGGCCATAAAGAACCCACTGACAAAAAATGATGATGAACTAACATGCACATTAAATAAATTTTGAATTGAGGACCATACACTGATAGAGAAAAACTAAAGTAATACTTCACAGCACAAAAGATGTATCTGATATATTTCAACAATTTCTTCATCAGATATACATATAGTCAAAATACCTACAAGAACGCAAAAAACACTATTATCTGTAAAATTCAATCTGCAGAAAGTGACATTAACCCCACAACTGTTTGTCAAAGATTCTAGCAAGATAGATATTGTAGGCCACCCTAGTCTCTATTTTACAGAATACATGAGGCTATAGCAACACATACAACTACCAACATATGTACACATCCACACCCATACATTCCACACACCCTCACACTAGAAAGGGTTTGCAGGCAGAGCTTGTAAAATTCCCTGGTGATTTATCATTATAAAAGAAACCAGCCCAAACCCTATCTTGATAAAGTTATGTGGTGGAGGTTTGTTGGCCTTTGCCAGAGTGCTAAAGATGTGAGGCAACAGCCTTTTTAAAAAGTGGTCTCAGGCAGATGTGGTCCTAGACTTAAGAACCGTCAAAAGATCATCCTATAACTAACCTTTCTTAGGTTTCCTTTCTCCCCCTGTGAGGGCAAGCAGCTCTGCCTCCAAATCTCCATCGTCATCATCGTCATCTGCTCCAATGGTTAGGTTGTCCATATCAGGCACTTCCATTAGGCCAAACTGCAGTGGTTGAAACGAGTAAGCATTAACACTAACAGATGACAACTAACTTAGTAGTTTGCATAGATCCTGTAAATACTGCAGATAAGTTAAAAATATGATTATAAATATAACTACACTTGACTGCCGACATGACAGACATACGGTACAATACAATGGGAAAACACCTAACAAAGGATTCTCAATGAACACACAATTTTCCATACAGCTTTAACAGTTTTTCAAATGAATCCAGCAATGATTCCCTAGACACAAAAAAATCAAGTAATACAAATTATTCTAATAGTAATATCTGCAAAATAACATTTCTGATATTAATTAAAAGGTAACTTACTTGCTATAAGGTTAACATGCCCCAAAAAGAAAAAGAAAAGAGAAAAACTAAAAAACAAAACCAAAGAAAGAAAAAATAAGTATTTAAGATATCAATAATAACATTTCAAAAGTAGGCTTCACTAGAACCCTGAGATTCCTAGAAAACTTGTCAAGGGTTCCTTTAGAGTTTGCGATAAAGAGGCTGCAAATATTATATCTTTACAACATATTTGCAAATACACTTTTTAAGTATTTCCAAGCCTAATTTAATCAAACAAATATTGCTTAAAGGTATAATTGATTGCAGGAATATATTTCTGATTAGAGGACAGGAACTGTATGTGGCAGTTAATAGGCAACCAAGTGACATTGCAGTAGTCAACCAGCCTCCATCAGTCTTCCCTGGCTTGCCTATGCAGTCCCTCATTCACCAATGTTATATGTTATCAATTAACTATTAATGGTTGTAAATAATATGTCAAAGCATTTCCTAAGATTGTCAATAAATTTGAAAGAGACTAACTATTTAATTGCATTTCCCCAAGTAGTGCCTGTAGCATATATTGTATTCCATGGTGGAAAAAAAGTAATACTACTATAGTGCTTCCATGAATGCAAGGCCAGTGTTCAAAGACACTAATCATACATATAGCCTAAGATACATTCTCATTCAAAGCTACTTCACATGTATTACAATTTACTAAAAATAAATAACAAAATCCTCTGGTAACCAATATTTACAAGACACCAGAATATCTTCCTCTTGCTTCTGATCCTTTGGTGCACCAGCAAAGGCTAACAACCCTGCACAAAGTATATTCCAGGAACTTGGCAACTTGACAACATTTTGTCAGATAAAGAAACAGGTTCAGAATATGTGTGATGGAGATCTTACTGTTGCTCGTCACTGCACGTATCTTGTATTTATTTTGTTTTATAGGAATTTTGAGGGATACATTATCAGAATAGAGCAAATTTAGTTCAACAAGAAACTACAACAATGACGTAATGTTTATAGGTATCTGTAACTTGAAATGAAAATTAACGAAAATAAAATTCCCAGTAACTTTATTTGTAGCTAAATATAAATGTCTACGTTGATGTGATTTAAAATAAAAGTCTAAAACAGAGAACATCTCGTTCAAAGTCATTCCTTAACACCAATTTCATCTCCCATTTTCCGCTCACTCACCTGTGCCAAATTTCCCCCTTTACGGCCGTGTCCTCTCTTCTGCTGCTTAGATTTGTCATCCTTACGTCCCGAAAAACCGAACATCTTGCACCATTACTTTATTTTACTCGATATTTTACGCGTGAAGTGACCTCCTCTCTGGAACGTTTGTTTACTCGCTGTCAGCTGTTGGGGGAACTATAGACGATAGGGTGAAATAAGAAAACTATAGACGACTTGAGCTATACTCTTTTCCAAATTCTATTGGGGATTTAGAGTTTTTAAGGTGTCTTTATTGATAATCAATGTATTATTTACGTATAATAGATAAGTTAATAATATACGTTTAAAAAGAATGGGTATTAAATATGGAAATTAATGCAATATATACATTTACATTGAGCGCATAGATACAGCGTTTCTCCGATCCCACAAAGATAAGGGATCGAGAAGGAATTCGACAAAAGACGAACGAAGGGCGCAGAGGAGCATCACTAACGCTTCACAGGTCACTTCAACATGTTATTCTCTCGTAATTTTGAGTGAATGCCGACTCGTCACGATCGTTAGGGTAAGTTTGATTAGCAAATCTCTTTACTGAATGTATGGTTGCAAGAAATAAGACATCGCAAAAAAAAAAAAATGTTTTCAATAACCGGGAAGGAAGCCACGATCAACTGCTATCGATGACGTCATAGTGAATGAATGAGCGTGTGTTCGATTATTTAAATTATTCATTGATATTGTACTTGTAACGTAGCAACCTGTGTGTCCAATGTTAGTCGTGTAGCTTTGGAAATATCTGTATAATTACTAACGAATAGTGATGTTTTAATTTTGCATGGAGGATCAGTGGAAGTTTTTAATAGTTGCCTGATTAAAAACTTCCGGTTTTAATTAACGTTTGGTCTGTTCATTAAAAATGTGTTAATGGGTGTAAGAAGCATGGCTGATATATTTGTGAAAGTTGTATTTGCTTGTGCTATTGGTCAAAAAGTCGTATGTGGAGAAATGTATTGTATTCAGTTTTATTTAGGAGCTTTATGTATTGCAGTTTTATAATCTTTCATATGCTTACTTTTTATTGGTTGATATTCCAATTCTCCTTAGCACCACTCTCACTTTTTCTTTGTCTCTCCCCCCACCCTCTCTCTCTCTCTCTCTCTCTCTCTCTCTCTCTCTCTCTCTCTCTCTCTCTCTCTCTCTCTCTCTCTCTCTCTCTCTCTCTCTCTCTCTCTCTCTCTCTCTCTCCCTCTCCCTCTCCCTCTCCCTCTCCCTCTCCCTCTCCCTCTCCCTCTCCCTCTCCCTCCCTCCCCCTCTCCCTCTCCCTCTCCCTCTCCCTCTCCCTCTCCCTCTCCCTCTCCCTCTCCCCTTTCCCCTCCCTCTCCCCTTTTCCCTCCCTCTCCCTCTCCCCCTCTCCCTCCCCTCTCCCTCTCCCTCCCCCTCTCCCTCTCCCTCCCCCTCTCCCTCTTCCTCTCCCCCTCCCCCTCCCCCTCCCCCCTCCCCCTCCCTCCCACCCACTCCCTCTCCCTCTCCCTCTCCCTCTCCCTCTCTTTCTCCTCCTCCCCATTTACTTCTTCCTTGTCACTTTCACTCTCCCCAGTGACCTAAGTGAAGAAGAACCAGCCTCATACAGTGCAACTTTCACCTATTGGGTTGGCGGAAGGCGTGGGGGTCAGGAGAGGATGGAAAATGAAAATAGTTACATCTTTCTTAATAGAGAGAGATAGAGGGAGAGAGAGAGAGAGAGAGAGAGAGAGAGAGAGAGAGAGAGAGAGAGAGAGAGAGAGAGAGAGAGAGAGAGAGAGAGAGAGAGAGAGAATGAGAGAATGAGGGAGAGGTCTTATAATGAGTAGAGAAAGCGATAAAAAAAGATAGAAAAATCGTGGAAGAGTTCGACTATCTTAAGCCATTGGCCGAGAGTGCAGAGAGCCTCGTCCGGGGATGGCTTGAGACTGGAAGGCCGAGGCTGGCGGATTGGGATGTTGCGTGCCCGACGTAGGGTGGCTGGCGAAGGGGGCGGAGATGGGACGGGATGGGGGGGGTGGGGGAGGGAGGGAGGGTGTGATGGAGGAGAGAGGGAGAGTAAATGGGAGGTTTAGTTGGTGGAGGGAGGAAGGGGGTGGAGGGGGAGGGTGGAAAGAGGGGGGAAGGGAGGGTGTGATGAGGGAGGGAAGAAGAGTAAATGGGAGGTTTAGTTGGTGGAGGGAGGAAGGAGGTGGAGGGGGAGGGTGGAAAGGGAGGGATAGGGAGGGTCATTCGGGGTGTGAGGGAGGAGACGGAGGGAGGGAGGGTGAGTCGGGGTGGGAGGGTGTGATGGGGGAGGGAGGAAAGCGGGGGAAGGGAGGGACGTGGGGGCGTGGGGGGGGTGCAGTCAACTCACAGGTGGCTGTGGCGGCGGTGGCAGTGACTGTCGGTCTTTCATATACTTCGGGTATAACACAGGAGACGGATCTCTCTCCATTTTTCTCTCTGGCGCGCGCGGGCTTTTTTTTATCCGCTTCATCGGCGAGGAATTGTGGGATCCGAGAGCCTGTTACGCAGCGTGTGCTTACGCGCGGAGAGGTATGTGTGTTAGCGTGCAAGTTGCAGGATATGGGAAAGGTTTTTATTTAATACATTGCGAAAATATTTTTTCGCCGATTGTCCGTTGCGTGTCAGTTTTGCGTCCTTTGGGAGTGACAGGGGAATGGCGACGCCGAAAACAAACAAACATCCATTCTCACTTGCGTGGGAGTGAGGAGAAGAAGGAAGAGAGAGGAGGGGGAGGAGGAGGAGTAGGGATAAAGAGGGAGGGAGGGAGGGAGGGAGGAAGAGGGAAAGGGAAGGCGGCGTTTAGGAGGGGGAGGGTCAACATTAGGACTCTAGTCGTGTCTTGTCTGTCAGACCTCGCGTACCTAAGCTGTTTTCAGATTGTTTTTAGTTTTTTTTTGCTTTATGTTGGTGGGTGCTTTGTGTTTTCTCGGATACTTTTTTATTTCTTCATGTTGGTGGGTGCTTAGTGTTTTCTCAGATACTTTTTAATTTTTTTTTCTTCATGTTGGTGGGTGCATAGTGTTTTCTCGGATACTTTTTTATTTTTTTTTCTTCATGTTGGTGGGTGCTTTGTGTTTTCTCGGATGATTTTTTTTTTTTCTTCCTACGTTTCAGATATTCTTTGAGATGTTAAAAGATTAGGATAAGATATTTTTTTCTGCCAACGTTTCGGATATTCTTTGAGAGATTGAAAAATTAGGATAAGATTAAGTTGAGATTTTATCCCCACACAGATGATAACGCATGTCAATGAGTTACCCGCTGTTAATTTCCACATCTGTTGACGCGGCAAATAATTTTGAAATGATCAGTCAATGAGTGACTTACTGTAACTTGGGGCAGGGGATTTCCAACCCTCTTTCATTGGAATATTATTGAACGATGCCTTTTGTACGCAATTGAAAGGCGCTCAAGCACTTGCCGGGTATCTATTGTGACATTATGATTAGAGAGGACACAGGCACCTTTCAGAGTCTGATACGTGTGACATGTGCATTTTCTGTCTCAGCCACGTTTCAATATTGTCCAAGTGGCCTCAGTACACACACACATGCAGAAACTTACATATACATATACATACGTATTCACACACACACACACACACACACACACACACACACACACACACACACACACACACACACACACACACACACACACACACACACACACATATATATATATATATATATATATATATATATATATATATATATATATGTATATATATATATATATATATATATATATATATATATATACACACACACATTTATACATTTATACATTTATACATCTATACATCTATACATCTATACATCTATACATCTATACATCTATACATCTATACATCTATACATCTATACATCTATACATCTATACATCTATACATCTATACATCTATACATCTATACATCTATACATCTATACATCTATACATCTATACATCTATACATCTATACATCTATACATATATACATATATAAATATATATATATATATATATATATATATATATATATATATATATATATATACATTTATACATTTATACATTTATACATTTATACATCTATACATCTATACATATATACATATATACATATATATATATATATATATATATATATATATATATATATATATATATATATATATATATGTATGTATATATATGTATAATTATATATATATATATATATATATGTATAATTATATGTATAATTATATGTATAATTATATATATATGTATATATATATGTATAATTATATATATGTATATATATATATATATATATATATATATATATATATATATATATATATATATATATATATATATATATACAGGTACAAACATATGCACAGATATATACATATAATTATACATACACATACACATACACATACACATACTACACACACATACTACACACACATACTACACACACATACTACACACACATACACAGACACAGACACAGACACAGACACAGACACAGACACATACACATACACATACACATACACATACACATACACATACACATACACATACTACACACACTCACACACACACGCACACACACACACACACACACGCACACACACACACACACACACACACACACACACACACACACACACACACACACACACACACACACACACACACACACACACACACACACACACACACACAAACACACGCATACTTACACGCACACACATGCGCGCGCGCACAAACAAGCGTAAACAAGCACACATACATTTATTTATTCATGAAATCTTTATATATATATATGTGTGTGTGTGTGTGTGTGTGTGTGTGTGTGTGTGTGTGTGTGTGTGTGTGTGTGTGTGTGTGTGTGTGTGTGTGTGTGTGTATCAATATCATTCCAAACTTAGATTACCGCCACCTTTTTAATATCAGCTGTTACAAACTGCTATCAATCTTATTTTCCAACTGTGTCTGGTGCTGACGGTTGAAATTGCAAATTGAGCTGTAGCGTTTTATTATCTCTTTTTGTGTGTGCTTCTTGTTTGTTTCTTGGCTTCTTCGTTTTGCTCTTATTTTTATTTTCTTTCGTATTATTATTGGTGTTATTTGGGTTATTATTCGTATTGTTATTTTTATTGATGTTGTT